TTCTCTCTCTCCCTTCGCGGCCTTTGCCTCTCTCTTTTTCCCTCTCTCTTTCTCTCTCTCTCTCTCTCTCTCTCTCTCTCTCTCTCTCCGCCTGTTTCTCCCTCCGTTCCTCTCGTTTCATCCTTTACTCTCGTTTTCTCTTTCCCCGTTCGTTTGCCTCTCACTGCAATTAGGGAATTGCCCCGGGTATTTTCGTATTCATCGCAATGCAACCACCGCTGACATGCACCGTCGCGGCGGTAAAGGTGCGCAATGGGTTATTTTCCATACATTGTTCGCGAAAATGTGGCGCGCTCGAATTCCGCTGAAGGGCTGGACGCAGGCGGCGCGCCATTACTGACCGCCGCCGTAATCGGGATGTGATCGTTTCGGCTTTCGCAAGCTCTCCTCCGGCTCTCACTGTCGTGACGTGGGAGCGCGCTCGCGGGAGAGCGCGACGCAGGAGAGCGGATTCGGCGGTTTCGCGCGAGTCGCGGCTCCGCGCTCGAATCGATGAAGATCGCGATCGCGATCGCGATCGCGGTCGCAGCTATGACACGTCAGGTACCATCATTCTCTCCCTCCTTTCTCTCTTTCTTCGTCTCTCTCTCTCTCTCTCTCTCTCTCTCTCTCTCTCTCTCTCTCTCTCTCTCTCTCTCTCTCTCTCTCTCTCTCTCTCTCTCTCTCTGTCTGTCTCTCGTTTCCTCCATTCCCCGCATGCCCCGCAGATGATTCTTTTACTTCCGATGAGCCAACCGACTTTTTCTTCGGCACCCGAGGCGTCGCTGGTGAGACGCCCGCGAAAAATGGACGTGCGCTCAGGTACTTCATTAATATTTCATTTCGTTGCTTATCGTTACTACGGTGCCGCGCCGCGGAGGCCTGCTTCGGGGCATCGTTACTCCCTCCAAGCGAGCGTGCACCAGGAGAGAGAACGCAACAGAGGAGGTGGAGGAGGTGGAGCGGGAGGAGGAGGAGGAGGAGGAAGTGGCGGCGGCGGCGGTGGCGGCGGCGGCGGCGCTAGGTTAGGGAGAGCGGGGCGGCGAAGAAGGATGCCGGAGAACGCTTTATTGCAATTGGGGTGACATTCTAGGAATTTTACGTCGTGGAAACACGGCGGAAACAGCCGCGGAGGTTTCGAGGGAAGTAATGAGGGACGCACCCGGGGAACAGCGGCGGAGACAGAGCGGGGAAGAGAGAGAATGAGGAAGACAGAGAAAGAGACGGCCGCCCGCGGAAAACGATTCGCGCGGTAATCCGCCGGCATTTAGATATGAAATCGTAACGAGGAAAGCCGTTGAGAGAACCGCGAGAGTGCGCGATCGATTAAAACGACCGCGTAGCTCGAACAGGCGGACACGTCGAAGAAGTAAGAAGGTCGCGTTCGCGCCTCTGCTGCCCGCGAGATTAAAATTGTCTGTTCGCGCGTCGTAAAGTTGTTCGCCTCGCGAGGTCGTCGTATCGTCTCAAATCGACCCACTCTGACCTGCCGACTCGAACTTCGTCGGACGATCACCAAAAGCGAAGAACAAGGATAAGGAAACGAGTACCCGCGCCTAGTCCCCGCGTGCGAATAATTTCGGTATCAGCGGAAGTTCATGTAAATAACGGACGGAGAGCGCTCAGTCACAGGACGAGAGACAGAGAGAGAGAGACAGAGAGAGAGAGAGAGAGAGAGAGAGAGAGAGAGAGCGCGTGCGAGAGCAAACCGGGAGAAGCGAATTGGCGGAGAAGAAGAAAGCGTGATGAAGGGGGCGAAAGAGACGAAGAAGAAGCAGAAGAAGCAGAAGAGGAAGGATCAGACGAAGAGGAGAGGTGGACGTGGAGGGGGGCTGGTGACGAGGGGGAGAAGCGAGACGGAAGAGCGAAGGATCGCCAGAGGCCAGGACGGAAAGAGGGAGCAGAAAACGAGGGAGAACTACGGTCTGCCTTGGAGTCGCCCGCGGCGTCACGGAGCGCATTGTCTCGCTGGATATCCTCGGGGCGGTATAGGTCCCCCCCCTCCCTTCCCCTCTCTATCTATCTTTCTCTTTCTCTCCACCCTCCGCTCCCCCGGCCCCGTCGCAGCTCTTCCACTTCGCCCTTCGACCACCTCTCTCACTAGGACACGAAGCTGGAGAGGACGAAGCTCGCCGCTATCTCCTCTCGTTTCCGCGCCCGCAGCGGAACGACCGCGCGCCTCCGCCGCCGCGCCAGCACCACTTCATGGTGGGGTGCAGCACCGCGCGCGTCTACCCTCGAGGGCACCTTCTGCACAACGATAGGAACGAACGTGCACGCGCGCGCGCGCGCGCGCGAGAGAGAGAGAGAGAGAGAGAGAGAGAGAGAGAGAGTGGGAGGAAGAAAGGAGGCGAGGACGGCGTCCTTCTTCTCCCACGCCACACGATCCCGCGTTTCCAGCCGCGGGCTAGCCGAAACGACTTGTCCATGTATGTACGCGTATTCACGCGCGCTCGCGCGCGTGTGTGTGTGTATGCGCGCGCGAGTGGCGCGCGTAGGTGAATGCGTGCGTGCATGCATGCGGGTACGTGCACCACCGCATCGACGGCATTTGCCTGCATCGCTCGCGGCAGGGCGTGCCACCCCTTCTCTTCTCGCTCTTCTTCTTCTTCTTCTCTTTCGTCCGCCCCCACCTCCTCCTCGCCCTCGTCGTCGTGCTCCTCCTCCTCCTCGTCCTCCTCGTCCTCCTCCTCCTCCTCCTCCTCCCTCCTCCTCCTCCTCCTCCTCCTCCTCCTCCTCCTCCTCCTCCTCCTCCTCCTCCTCCTCCTCCTCCTCGTGCTTCCTTCCTTCTTCGTCTTCTTGAACTTCGCATTCTACTTGCGCTTGATGGCATCATTTATCGTAAGAAAAATAATGAGATTAGGATAATCTACCACCGCCGGCGTTTCCCGCCGCGCTTCGCGAAATTTACTTTCAAACTTCTTCGCCGGTACTTTCCGTTTCGCTCGCGCTCGCTCGCTCGAAGCGTTCGCTCGCGCGCGCGCGAAAGATAATATGTTATCGCCGTTTCGCTATCGCGCTCTCGTTGAGTCTCCTCGCCGCGCTTCTTCGTATCTCGGAACGAGCGGCACCCCCCGAGGGTGTCCTTCCTCGCTCGGCGCCAGCGGCGGTCGAATCGTGCGGTAGAAGAGGGATGTGCCTCTCTCTCTCTCTCTCTCTCTCTCTCTCTCTCTCTCTCCCCCTTTCTCCTCTTGTTCTATCCGAGTAATATTATGCGCTTTCATCCCCAGGCCGACCGAAACGCCGCTCTTCACGCGCGTACATGTAAGTGTAAGTGCGCGCACCGTCTCATATTGGCATCTGCCTGTATCGCTTCTGGCGACGGGCGCTTTTTGCCTTCTTCTTCTTCTTCTTCTTCTTCGTCCTCCTTCTCTTTCTCCTCCTTCATGTCCTTCTTCGTCTTCCTCGTCTCCTGTTTCTTCGTCCTGCGCATATTTTTCAATTGCGTGCGTTACGAGGGAGGAAATGGTCCGGCGGAAATGAGAACAGCGGTATCGCACGTGCGAAGTCCTGTAGACGTCATCGACGCTTTGCTCGTCCTCGTCATTGCCGCAGCGATCAGGTCGTTTGTTTCTTACATAACATCCAGTACTCGTACTCGTTTAGAAGTATGAGACTATCTTTCTTCTTTCTCTACGGCGACACTTTGCCTCTTTGAGCCGATCCGAATGAACTTTATATGTCATGTATCAAGCAATATATTTCTCGAAGGTGTTCATTCTCAGACAAAATTACAAATTGTCAGAAAACTTTTATGACAATTTATTATAGGAAGAAAGAGGAAGAAAGATTTTCCATCGAGAAATTGTACGATTTTGATAACGATTGTCTCTCTACAAGACGGAGATATACACCTCTCAAAAGCCATATTGGTTAATTCAGTTTTTCACAAATTTCTTAATTTGTAATATTGACAATTTGTATAATACTTTCGATATTCTTGGTTCGTAATATTTTCAATTTGTACGTTAATTTATAATTTCTTAATTTTAATGTCAAAACGCACGTGTTTAAATTTTCGTACCAAAATATATGATTGGTATTTAACGTTTCCAAATGGTGAATTTCCAAGAGATGAACGTAATTTTGAATTTGGCTTCTGAGAAGTTCACGCCGATAATCGCCGATTAATCGCCGAAGCGGCGAGCGAAAAGTGTCGATCGCTCGCGACCGTAACGAGACGTAGACGTGTTACCTGCATCGTTTCGCACAATTTACGGTGCTCCTTCCCCTCCCTCTTTTTCTCTCCTTCGCAACACGATTCCGGCCCTGATCGTCGAGGGCTAACCAATACAGTTTTGTATATAGGTGCGCAGATATACGCGTTTATCCTACGTTCTGGCTGCATCGCCCATGGCGAGGAGTACCCGTCCCTCCTCGAGCCTCCTTTCTCTTCCCCTTTTTTTCTTTCACTCCTCGCAGCCTCCATCCTCTTCCTTTCGGCCGCTTCTCTTGTTCCTTGACCGACCTCTTGTCAACCGCCTCCCCTCGCCTTCCCTTCGGGCGAACTTTTCTTTCCGGACGAAACTTCACGCGATATATCCCGCTGCCCTACCTCTATCCTTATTTTCTTACCTTTCTCTCTCTTTCTTTCTCTCTGGCCTTGTCGACCTGTCCCTACGAAATTATCATTACTCGACCGGCGTACGAAGGATGCAATGCCAGAACCACGATAGCTTCTTCCGATCTTCGCGAGCAATTGCGCCAACGAGAACTTTATTTATTCGAGTTAACGCAGATCATCTTGCTTGTCGCGGTCCATCTAACATTTTAATCCGTCAATTTAGCGTCAATTTAATCACCGTGTGACTTAATCAAATCACTTTCGCGAATGAGCCGTCACGGCAGATTTCAGCGGTCGATCATATGCGATGACGCGTTGTTGTCGATGAATGGCTCGAGATATCGCGCAAATCGATAAAACGATCGTGATTTTATCGATCAAAGATTCGATGGGGGATTAGAAATCTCGAGGATGGATCTGCGGGGAGATAAAGGGGATAATAGATCCAGACAGGTGCTTTCGGTAACTACAACACGCCGTGAGAATTTTATTAAAAATATTTAAAGCTCAATCACATCGCGGACGATCGTCGATCCGCGATCGCACTCGAAGTCGCATAATATAATTGAAGTTACATAATATAATTTATTGCACGGCGCGCGTACGAGTCGCTCACGTGTCGAGAGCGAAGCAGGCACACGCCGGACGAATTAAAAAATAAAAAGCGGCGCGTTTTGTCGTCGTGTCTTGTCGATTTTTACACAAGTTTACAAAAACTTTGCTGATCGCCGTTTCACCTGGCGATAATTTGCGAGTGAAGTTCATTTCGATTGTATATACTATATATGTTTATACATGTATCACCGCGCGCGAATTTGTAATTAATTCGCCTTCTCATTCGATACCATATTATTCCTGTGACATATTTTTTTCCGGACATATTTCATGTTTATCGGACGTTTTTGAAGCGCATGATTCTTCTCCCTCTCTTCTTCTCTCTCGACAATTATCGTCGTTAATACATCGTACCCATGCCCCATTATATTAATAATCGCAAACAGAATTATTACCGTTATAATTACGAATCCAATTAAGTCGTTTCGCGGTAATGTGACACATCAAAGGTGACATACGAGTCAATTCTTTTGAGAGGAGCGCGTTTTCCAGCTGAAAAGGCAAACAGCAACGCGCGCTCTTCGACGACGGAGCTATCATCCATCGGATCCGATCGAGCAACATTTTTCCTCGATATTCTAACTTACAATTAAATTACATTAGGATCCCGTTTTGTCGTAATCGAAGTGAGATTATGCTTTTGCGGCCTTGCGCCCCTGTTGATACTTTGACCCTCGTGATTTCTTAAACCAAGGTGCAGCAGACTTGATTGTTCGGACAGTCGACGACCTGGTGCTGCAGCATGATGGCACATTTGTCCATACAGATTCCACCAAAATGGCGGCAATGAGTCTGATATTCTTTTTTGACTGCAAAGGCGAAAAAAATCATCTTAGAAGAGAGAGAGAGAGAGAGGGAGACACTCGTTAAATAGCGTTCGTTACAACGTGACTTGTTCACCGTGCAAAAATGATGCACAAATTAATTCGATGGTCCGTTTGGGACTCGCGACGCGAGATAACGCGAATCTCGCGAGCTCGCTATACCGATATTGCTGATCACTGTGAGAGATTAGCAGCGATCGCGCCTCTAATTGAGTTGTCGTGCAGGAGGCTGAATAATCACGCTCTAGACGTGACGTGAAAAGCCGCGGCCTCGACTCATCGATCTCGATAGAAACGCGCGAGAGAAACGTTAAGTTCAGATTTAGAGGACGTTTAATTTAATTTAATTAATTCTGAGAGTGCACCATTCCACATAATTGCGTGGCAGAGTGACTTTTATTCCGGTAAAGGGGAAACAAATCAAATAAATCTCGTCTCCGTTTCTCGGACAAGTTTTAACGAGTCATTAAAGTCACGAAATTTCAATCGTTAAACTGTAACTGATAAAGAGCCGGAACCGCTCGGGAGAAAACTCGGAAACTAAAATCAGGGTCGATAGAATTGACAAAAGTCTCTCCCAAGAGTTGACATATTTTCAACTATTGATTGTGCAGTACGTCGCGTTATTGCCGATGAATTATTCGCGATATCACGCGAGAGCACGATGACGTATAATATCGTGTGAGCATTCTTTTCCTAGTTGGGCTAGCGGATTTGTTCGAGTCGATTTCAGTGCGAAAGGCAAACTCACCTATGCTGCAGCACGAGGTGCCCTGTTCGGGGCATAGAATATCACTCTTCACCTGTTCGTCACACTTATTCGGCGTTAAACAATTTTCCTGGGCACAGATCTCCTTCGCACGGGCATATTCTGAAAACAGATTCGCAAGATTGTATCCCGGTGCCTTGCGGATTTTCCTCGTTGCGCCGCGAATCGAATGCCATCCGCCGGCGGCATTAAAAACGAACGTGCGTTACTTCGCGTGTACGCATTACCTTGTAACGATGTATAACGCGTTATCTCCGTCTCAAAGCAAGATTAAACATTAGGTATTAGCTCATGAAGTTAAACGCAAGGTTAAACGGTAAAGATAAATCTTCTCTTGAATCAGTTCTGTGTACAAGTGCGAAAAGAAGAGAGCATGGAGATATACGACATTGTAATGTTATTACTGTGCAAATTTCAATTCGTTTCAACGCGTGTGTGTGCGAGAACCTATGGAAAATTATTGCCATTTGTTTGTAGCGATAAAAAGACGGAGAAAGAGAGGGAGGGAAGAAAGGAAAGAGAAAGATATTTATTAGTGGAAAATATATAAAAACGGAGAAAGCAGTAATGAGAAAGTAAATTGTATTGTTGGACGAAATGGCGGATATTTCGGGCAAGAACTCTGTTAATAATTTAAACTTTGTGCTTTTTACATCTCTCGGGATGAGGTTTCACTCGAAAAGCAAGGCGACACCCGAGCCATTTGAGTTCGAGTAATTTTTTACTCGTATAAAGTGAATTCTCCATTTGGAATCGGGTGAATGTTTCGTTTCGAATTTGAAGAGTAAACCTGACTTATTTCATGGTCGCAGGAACAATCGCAATCTAGTCGATTGAAAAATTCGTACTCGTACGGAATTAGAATGCATTTTCCGAGTCTGAGTGAAACATTCACTTTTATGATCGCTAGCATCTTCGTGATTGCTTGGAGTGAATTTTTACTTGTTTTCAGCGAGAGATTTTACTCTGAGAAATCTATAGAGAGTACAATAAGCAATCCATGTGATAAACAATTATTAACGTTACACTCTCCGTTAAAATCTCCGAGTGAAAGAAAAAGAAATACGAGTCAGAGGCAAAATCTCGTTTAAATTCAATCCCGAATTGAATGAAATTTTCAGTCTTACGATTCCGCGTGTTTTCATTGTCGCTTTGAGTGGATTTCCAGTGAGAATTTCTGTTCTCTTCTACGAGAAATTCACAGAGAGCACAAGGGGAAATCGATACAACGAATAATGATTAGCGTTACACGTTGGAATGCCGCAATATCGAAATATACATATATCTGAATAAAAAAAGAAAAAAGACAAGAAGCGAGCCAGAGATGTTTGTATTTAATCTTATATGAGATTGAAGCAAACATGACTGTGCCATGTTGCGTAAGTCGTACGAACATAAAATTGAATATAAGCAAGAATTGCTTCGCGTATATCCCTTGTCTGTTCTCTTGTCTTACTCGGATGTTTCGGTCATTTCGACATTTCACGTCGCGTAACGTCAATCATTGTTCGCTGTACTAATTTGTGCTCTCTGTGAGTTTCTCGCGGCGAAAACGAGCGAATTTAACTTACCGGCGGCACAGAGGAGAGCAGCCACGAGGGCGACGAAGACGAACGTGCAGCTTCTCATTTTCTCGGCGAAGGTGCTTTTGGAGTAGCTCGCGATGATACTGACAGCCGACGACGATTCACTGGTGACACTTTGCCAAGACCGGTCCGTTATATACATGAAAGCGGCCGGCGTTGCGCGACGCGCGCACACTCACGGGCGCGTGTACGAACAGCGGTGTGCGTGTACACACACACACACACATGTGCACACTGCGGGCGAGCGAGCGCACGTCGTATCGCATCGACGTGTATCTCATTATCAGTCGTTATGAGATGTTAGATAACGATGATTTGCATCGTACATGAGTCATACGCACGATTGCCGATAATCTAATACGATCGAGTGAGCATCTAGTGAGCGAGAAGAGCCGGGACGAGAAAAAGAGAGGGAGTGAGGGAGGAGACAGAGAGAGAGAGAGAGAGAGAGAGGAGAGAGAGAGAGAGAGAGAGAGATCCCGAGCGGAATTTCTGCATTCGGGATTCGGATCGCGGCGAAGCGCTTCCAAGGCGGATACTTCCCGCGATTCTTTAGGCGAGAACGAGTTGCGAATGACAGTTGAGAAGAAATAAAGAAAATGCCACTCAAACGTGTCATATTCGTGGAGCGACGTGATCGACAGGCGCCGAGATTCACGAATATTCGACAAATGAAATTATACATCGGATTTATGTCTTTTCTTCCTTTGCCCCGTTTTCTGCTTTTCTTTCTTCCTCTGTTTGTTGAATTGAGTATTTCTTGTCTCTCTTTTTGACGTACGTGACTAACTCGAACGGAGCTTGAGCTGCTCGCGTGAAATCTGCGGTACCAGCATCGCGATAGTTTCGCACATTCGTTCACACGTTTTCGCAACACGTTAGTACAATTGGCTGCGGCGATAACAGTCGAGAGTTCGTTAAACCGATTGTGCCATGGTAGAAAGAGTTCATTATAATGGTTCATTATAATGCAGAAGACAGTGTTCTCTAGGCAGTTTCGCAATTGAGCTGCAAACTGGACTCGAAGCTCGCTTCGAACTCTCTCTTTCTCTCTTTCTTCCTTTTCCAGAGCGATTCTCAAGCGATTCTTCAAACACACAGCCTTCCTTCATATCGAACAGATATCGAGAGTAGATACGTTGTTCCGATATCTTTCGATGTTTGAGTGTTAATGACACGTTAAACATCTGGGGGGAAAAGCACTTCAGCGTGTTAATTCTGGAGGAGAGAAAAATATGTTTGTCATATAGACTTGGTGCAAGGTTATATCATAGACGTCGTGGGAGAATCTCGCTGCTATTTTTCAATGTTTTATCTTATCGTATTATTAGTATTTTGTGCGGAATTATCGGAATCGGACTGTATCAGAATAAATAATGTGCGATTACATCGGAAAATTACCAATTACATTTTCCGATCGTAGGAGGGGGGGGGGGGAAAGCACGTTGCGATTGCCGTTTACGGCAAGTGTGAGTGTGCTTGAGAGATTTTCGAGAAATTTCGCGCTCTGATTCTCTTAGCCCAAACAGCTGGGATTGGTGAGTTTTAGTGAGCTGGGTGTGAGTTTTATACAAGATATACGAATCTCGGAATAAGAAAAGACTTTTGAAATATCTTCGAATTTCACTCCTCGTGCCTCTTTTATAAGAGGATATCGACGTCTATTCTACTATTGTATGCGCTATGTATTTAAAAATTGGAAATACTTCACGCAGAACTACCATGTGAAGTTGCCTGATTGAGTTTTTTTGAGAAAATAATTATTTTCTCGAAACATTATTATCGCATGGTTAAAAACTGAAATAATAAAATTCCGTATAAAACATTTTCTGATATTTCGAAGAGTTCAAGAGAAATATCGAGAAAAGTCGAGAGCCACATTGTTTGGTCCCGAAATTGGGATCAGAGATAAAAATTCTAAAATTCCTCCATCTCTCTGATTTATCTGCATGTGCGCAAAGTTTCATTGAGATCAGGATTTTCCGATTCGCGAGGTTCTCTTGTTAATATCGAGTGGTCCATGTGTAATCGAATGAACGTTTTAATACGTGCTGATCTTTTACTATTTCGTATAATGGCTTAGTCGATTACTTTATCAGCGGGATCTTTGACGTGTGAGATAATCAATTTAATCAAGCGATATAGTGTAGTGCATAGGTTACATTAGACGAATCTTCGTGCCTTTGTTTGTCGAAAATAAGAAAGCAACGAGGATCTATCAAACGAACGGAGAGGGGAGTATCTCTGCGTGGAGGAAAGTTTTCTGGAAGATTTTGACATTTGCACACTGAAAGAGAAAGTACCAATTTGTCTATAGGAATACATTTATATTACTTGAAACGTTTGAAGGAACTATGAGAAATTATTTGACGTGTAACACGTGTAATTTTCACAATATAAAATTAAAAAGATATCCTAACAAACAATTAATCGTTGCAATATACGTGAAAAATTTGGACTTTGGTGTTAATGTATCTCAATTATGCGATATGTAAGTCTGATATTCATGATGAAATTATTATTCAATGAGGATTTTTTCTCGGTGTGACATCTACAGCAATCTTTTTGCCAGTGAGGAGTACAAAACGGTGGAGAGGGGGATAAACTTTCCGTTTCCTCCGTATGCTGTTTTCTTCGTGTAAGAAGTCGATGTATTATCGAGCACAATCTCGTGCCGAGATTACCGTCAATCAAGATCGATATCGAGCTTGTTTTCTCATATCTGATACCCATAAAATTAACGAACAATTATGTCGAGGCGACCTGTTTGTCCGACTCGCGCTCGGATAGCAAGGGTCAGGACGTTCGAACGTTACTCTGTCCCAAATTTATTCTCTTATCCATCATCGCATGTCTGCGAATCGTCGCACATATTTCGTAAGTGACACATGAATTAATTACAGGACGAAAAATAAGATACGTCGAATTACAATACACACAAACATGTATCGTATTAAAATTACAATGTAATTTTTCGCGAACGATTAATACACTACGAATATTCGCCGCTGACAAATCGAAAGCATAAGTTGATACAATCTCTCTCTTCTTTTTTTTTTGTCTTTTTCTTTTCATAATTTCGTTTCCCACACGAGATCTCGCACGTTTCACGTCGCTTCACGTTCAAGCGCGACGTGCGCAACGATCGGAAAAATCCAACAGACGTGTGTGGCGTTGTTTAAACTTTTATTGATTCCTTCCAAAGCATGATACTCGTCGCTAGGATGTTCTTTAGCATGTCGCTGCTCTTAAGTCGTAAATAAAAACGAGTGGGAGATATGTGCTTACGTCCTCGGGAAGAACATACGCGAAAACTACGCCTCTTACAACACAGTACAGTTCCTCAAAACGGAAAAACGCGAACGATGGAGAATGATAAGTACTCACTACTGATGGGCACTCGAAATGTACAAGTCGACTAAGTTCGAAATTTTTAGGGCGTGGTAAAGACGGTCAAGCTGAACGAAATCATGTCGCGCTCGCGCGCACATCTGCAAATTTTTCCTCTTCTCTCTCTCTCTCTCTCTCTCTCTCTCTCTCTCTTACCGACTAAAGATCTATCTTGTATTTTTCATCCACAGATAGTGGCTCTTTCTTTTTTCTCTTTACACTTTGAGCAATTAATCCACTGCGTTTGTGAATTAAGCTAGAAAACAGTTACGATCGAGCGCGGCCCCGCGCCGGCGAGCAGGAGGCTTCCGAGAAAGAGAGTAAAAGTTTCACGTACACGGAGAGAATGTTATAGCTTCCTTCCTTCCTTCCCATGTAAATTCTTTCCAATCTCGCCATGTTTCCTCGTAGTGCAAGAGACTAGATTGTCGCTAGAATTGATCTTGCTAGGGAACGCAGCACTTTTCACTGAGGAACGTGGTAAATGCATTTCCTCTCCGACGGCGCAGTCTCAAGTAGCGAGTGAATCGGCAAGTGAGCAAAAATTTCTCTAACAGTAAATAAGTTTATACAGTGTAATTTTTCATAGCAACACTCCCGAGAATTCCTAACGTATGAATAGCACGTATGAGACAACAGGGCGACAGAACAGAATGTAGCCGACATGTTCCTCAGCTGGGAGACCGTTTGACTCATTAATAATTTTACAACGAATTCGAACTACTTTGATAATCCTCACTATAAAATCCTGTCCGTGTGTGTAGGGGAAAGCCGGGCGAAACTAATTGCGGCGAACCGTCGTGACAGCGCGCTTACTGCCGTAAAAATTTCCCGTTCACCTAGCGTTTAAGACCTAGACTTTCGTATGTACAAATGGATAGACTTTTGTATTCGGTACTGAGCATAGTAGCGTACATATTACACATTATTAATGTCAGAATACTGTACACGATAGCACTTTCGTGAGAATCAAAGACTCGTACTGACTAGAAAATATTCAATGACGTTCCATTTACGAATGACGTCCGCAGACGAGGGCGACGCGCTAGCGTGCACGCACGCACGCACGCACGCACGCACGCACGCACGCACGCACGCACGCACGCACGCACGTACGCTTGAAGAACGCTGCTCTCGCTCGACGACGAGAGGCGAGGCCTCTATCTCTCGAGAGAAACGAACTTTGCGCGCGATACTTGGACGTCTTCGCACTCCCGTTTCCATGTGCTCGCTCCGATTACGATGACGACTTCGTTATCGTCTTTTCACCTCGGCGAGACAGCTTACGATAGCGTCCGCTCAGGAGATCGTTTCTCCCGATCGAGCCGCGTACGTGGCCGGTCTCTTGAACTTCCCAGACGGCAGAGGGTGAAGGATGAGGAGGAGGAAGGGCACGTGCATCGGGCAGCGTGTCGCGTCTCGCGAGAGTCTCGTCTCCGAGACACACGTGCGTCTACAAACTAACGATTGTACATTTTCCGGAGAATCTCTGATCGAAAGGTCGAGCGCGAAACCTCGCCTCAACCACCCACCTTTGGCGGGCAGGTAGGCAAGGGGGAGAAGGGGACACTCCCGACGTCGTCGTCGTTCGCATCCGAAGGAGACGATCCGTTCCCGTATCACAGTTTGCCGAGATTACTCTTTATGCACCGGGTCGATAGTCCGTTATTATGTTCTTCAGGAACGTGTAGATGTCCTTGAAGGTTGGTCGCGATGTCTCGTCCCTTCTCCAGCATGAACACATCATCCGATACACCTCCTCCGGACACATGGTTGGTTTCGGCAGAAAAACCTGGAAGCGGCGGCCGACGGGGATTAGAAAATAGCGTCGCACAGATATAAGTCTTGATTTTCATTCCCGATCGACTTCTCATTTTTGGTTAAGCCTAGAGTGCCAGTTCTGCGCTTCCAGACCTGATCTTAATCTCAATTCTTGCCTCCCCATTCAGATATCATGAGAAAAGTTGTGGATGATCCGGCGAAAAAAAAAACTACATATAAATTTTATTCCTCTGCGGCCATAGATAAATATATGTAATTATAAAGGGCGTTTGTGAACTCTATCGACAAACTTACAACAAGATAGGTTCCATGTTGATGAAAGTAAGTAAAAAGATCTGAGTAAACATGTATTCGCGAAAGCTTGATTTTTGAGATATAGCCTTCAGACGATGACGAAAGAAAATGTGTCAAGATAAGCGGGTCGAGAGTGCTGTTAAAACACTTTTTTACTTGTTTGTGAAAATAATAGCTATCAATTTTGATAATTTCTGAATATTAAGCAAATAATCTTGTCTTGTTGCGAGTGCAATTAAAAAACACATTATTTTTTCTTGATATCACTTGCTTATCGACCTTTGGAAATTTCAAAATTATTAAATTAACAAAAGTTAGGGCACTATTATAGTAATATATTCTTGATAGTAAATAAAGTAAAAAAGTCTAATACTATTTTTTTCTTTCTTTCGACAAATAGTTAACGAGATATCGTAAGTTAAAGGTTGAAAAAGTTACCAAGTTTCCCTTAAATATTTTAAAAAATATTAGGCAAATAAAAAAATGTTTCAGACAAAAGTTGTTAAAATTAATTGGTAGAAAAAGAAGATGTAATAAAAAATTGGGCTTTCTATTTAAAAAAATTAAGTTGACCTTCAACTGACCTTGAAAATGCCCTTCAAATAAAAAACTGATAATGCCATTCTCTTTCCCCTTCGAAATCATGGAAAACGTGTTTTAGCTTCTTTTAATATCTTTTATAGTTTTCGAGATTTTTTAATGCGAAAGTTAAAATGGGACACCCTGTATATATCTAGTTACTTATTTGTGTAAAATATGATTTAACAGATAAAATATATATTTTTTGAAACTGAGATCTCGTGCGGGGTAGCTGTATCTCTCAGAAACTAAGTGCTTGAGGATACAAAGACTTTTTTATGTAGAATCTATCCTGCGAATTTGTCGGTGGAGTTTAGATGTACCCTGTATATGTCCACAGTGAGAAAAATGCTGTTGCACAAATGCTTGTGTTTATAGCAGCTCGTGATGTGGACATACAATTGCAGCAAAAAATCTTATCTTCTTTTTTTTTCATTTAACAGTATTTTTTTCAATGTATGTATGATTTCATACAATTATGTACTCGACCATGTAGAAACAATATTCATACATGAATCATGTGTAATAATAATTTATGTATAATTACATATGATCTTATATAATTATATATAATCTTTCTCGATCGGGAATACATCCTTTTGGACGTATCAGCACTCTACAAGTATCGGCTGTCGATATCAGTTTTAACGTATCGCCCGCTTGGGAGATGCCGCAACGGCAGGAGCAAATATTGAAAATTAATACTAGCACTCTAAGGTTAAGAAAGAGGTCTCGAAATCCAGCGGGATAATGAGAAACACATTCGCACAGAGAGAACGATTTAGTTGAATCTAACAAATGCTTGTTTGGAACAGTCGAAATAAATTTTTTGATTGATCGAACAAAATTTTGTTTGACGCAACGAAAACATTTCGTTGGAACTAAGCTGCAACAAAATATTTTTGTTGCGTCAAACAAAACTCCGTTCGATCAATCAAAAAATTTATTTGGACTATTCCAAATAAGCATTTGTTAAATTCAACTAAATCGTTCTCTCTGTGCAGGAGCACAGAGTTATGCGAATCGATTGCTCTCACTTGCAGCTCCGCTCCGTAATACATATGCTCGGCGTTCTGGATAACTTGATCGTTGGACAAATGCTGGAAGGGTTTCTCCCTGGCCAAACTCATCACCTCCCAGAGCGTCACGGCGAAGGACCAAATGCTGCTCGAGCATGTGTACCTGTCCTGAAATTTTAACGTCGTTGGGTCATTGTAAAGCGATTTTTAATTGCGTGACGTTGAGGAATGATGAGATATGTTTCGGAAGGCGATGGTCTCACCAGCAAAATACTCTCCCACGGTAGCCACCGGATCGGCGCGGGCGGTCTACCGCCGATATCGCTGTAATCCTTCTTGTAAAGATCGCTGCACATCGCAATGTCGGTTACTTTGACGGTGTAGCAACGACCCACGAGGCAGTTCCTGGCCGCCAGGTCTTTGTGCACCAGATTCTTCGACTCGAGGAATCTCATCCCGGAGGCTATCTGCGTGCCCATGTACAGCAGGCAACTCTGACTGAAAAGAAGTGAAATTTATCGACTAGATTTTGTATAAAACTTTCGCTGGAGCAGAGAGAGAGAGAGAGAGAGAGAGAGGGAGAGAGAGACGAACGTTTTACTAGAAATCAGATCTTACAGGATCGGGAAGATGTATGGTGCAGGAAAAGATATTTAATACTCGTCGATTTAATTTTACGTAGAAGAAAGAGGCAATTAATCGCAGAACAGCTGTATTCGAGCGTCCAACGGCTAATCTCCTAGAGAGGAAAGTTATTAAAGTCACATTTTTTACAACATTAGCGCGCTCTTCATCAAACAGAGAGCGGTTGATATTTGGATTGTTAATCAATTCGGACCATCGTTATATTCGGTAGAAATGTTACGGCTCGTGTCGCGCACACTCGTCAACCGCTATCTATCTCTATTCTCCCGTTAGATTCGAAATATCGCCATATGTTGTCATGACACGGCTGATTTCGGCCATTTATTCATATCCGCTCGCGCCGTTTGTACGGCAAAATTCGGTCGTAAATTCACTAGGAAGGATTAATTAACCTTTTCAGAGCTACTGACACACCGACCGATGCCGTGTGCGTTTGCATACGTCCAGTTTTTCTCTCTTTTCCTTAACCTGCCGTCGAAATAGAACGTATGTTTATTCTCGCGAATAAACATTCACCGCAAAATTTCGCGGGAGGAAGAAAACTCGTCTCAATCTCGATTAACAGATGCCCCTGTTCTCTCTGTCCCCTTAGAACTGAGTCGTTTCTCTTGCTCATCTTAACAGGCTCAACATTCCGCGAGAGAAAGAGACAATCTCGGTCGGCCGATCGACACAGACGTTACACATCTCTACCGCTACAGAGTTAAATCATTTCCCCCTCGATTTGTTCAGATTCTCCGCTACCGTGATTAACACGATTACTCCCCGCGGGTACGTTACCTGAGAGCTTTCAAGTTGCAATTCGGCCTGAGCGTTCCCGTGAGTGGTACACTGTACTGCAGGTAATGAGCGAGATCACCGAGCTCGGTGTACTCGATGATCGTCCACGGCACCGGCTCGACCGTGCACACCCCCAGGACTCGCGCCACGTTCGGGTCGGACAGGCACGACAGGAATCGCACCTCCCTCATCTGATCGACCGCGTTGTTAGTGCGAATGTCGCCGCTGCACAAGGGCACACGGGCGACCACTAGTCTGGGGGCGCCGGACACAACCTCGTCCAGACCCACCGCTTCGCATATTATGACCTGCAAAATCACCGCGAGAGCCGTCCATATATTCAGCGCTCGTCTGATCGATCGAAGAGAAAAACAGCGATCGGCGAACGCGCGACGAGCCGGCCAGTCGAAATTTCCAAATTCCGAGGGCGGAACAATTTCCCGAGGAACATATCGAGAGCGTAGAATTGCTCCGGAAATTTTCAACAGCGCGACGGAACAATCGATCGAAAAAATACAGTTCGCCCGGAATAACAATGGAATAGTAATAGTAAATAATAATAATAATAATAACAACGACAACAGTAGTTTGCGGCACTGCGGTGTCGCAAGTTCTCAAGAGGCGATTGCGCGCTTCCGGTATTCCCCGCTTCTCGCGAGCTTCGCTGCATCTTTCTTCTCTCGGGACAACGCATGTGTCTGCGATTCGACGGCCTCCTCGCGGCCGATATTAATTAACTCGATTTTCCGTGCCGAGTCAAGAATGACGAGTCGACGGTGCACGAACCGATAAACAGCAAACGTTGAAGCTCGATGCGACCGTACGCGCGTGTTACTGCGCATATCAAGGTTTCAAAGTATTCACGCAACAAACAGGTACATATTAGCATTGTCGAATGTAACGTATGTATGCCGGTAGGATAAATATGTAAATTGCGTTTCGCCATCGCCCACACGTCGTCCGCGATTAAGCACGGCCGATCCAGAAACGCGCATCCGTCGCCGTCGCTACGCTGCGGCCACATTTTTTCAGCGTTCGTTATCGTTCAAACTTTGGCACATTATTGTCAAATTGTTGAAATCAGCTTCAAGATTCAAATCGTTCGTTCACTCTTAAGTGATAATGCAAATACCGCCACTTGAAATAAAAAGATTGAATGTTTAATTCAAACTTAGGGTAGGGGATTCTTACGATGCATGCGAGTGAGTGTTTCGGTCGATTAGAGTGAATTTCTCTTATCGGCTCTCTATTGGTCCTGCAGCTTTATTAGCTCCGAATGTTTACAGCAAAATCACTGAAAGTGAGTGGAGATTCCCATTCCCGAAATCGCAAGATCGCGAAATCGAACATTTCATTCAAACTTAGGGCGGATGTGTACTTGGGTGTACAAATAAATTCTTAATTCAAATAATTATATCGCAATTCGCTCGGATATATTTGTTTCCGCGACGGTGGACTACTCACAGTGGAAGAATTCCATCGATATCAGTGAGGAGTTACTCACTGTCAGTTCCGCTCTTCGAGCGGAATCTCGCCCGAAAAAATTCAGAGAGCGCGAATTCTCGAATTCGGGATAAGGCGGCAATGTCCCGCGACAATGTTCGCGCTTTGTCACGTAACGCGTTTTCGCAACATGCGATTTTCACGGTCACGCGCGCTCTCTCACGAACGAAGCGTTCGTGTCGTTACCGTCCGCACCTCTCCCACGTTCCGCGAGCCGAGTTTCTCCGTCGTTCGCAGGCACTGTCGTGGTATATTGGTTGGCTCTATTTCCTTGCACTTGTACGGCTTGTTCATACTAGGTGCGATGTTCCAGCTGACGACGGGCGCTGGTATCTGCAAATGAGACGCACACGCTCTCGTTACCGTCGTCGTCTCTCGTCGCTCCTCCCTCCCCCTCCTTCTGCCTCTTGTGAAATAAATTCCCTCGCAACAAGACAAATACGACGGCGAGCACGTGGAAATTATACGGCCTCGACGCAAGCCCCTTCGTCGGGGCTTGAAGTCGAGCGAGCTTGAAGTAGCGCGCCGCGCGAGTTGGTGGTTTTCGATTTTCGCACGAACGTCAACGTAACGCGCCTGTACTTTCCCCTTTGGCCGCGCAATCAGTCAAATGTACCGTCAAATTGTACAACTAATATGTACCTTGTGCTTCTCCTTTGGCGCTGTGTGCCAGCGCTTCGAGTGAACCTGATCGACATCCCTTTGGTGATTGGGCGTAACCGCGATATTGAGTTTCCTAGTTGGACTGCTGTAACTTTGAAGGGTCCTGTAGTGCTGGGAATGACGAGCCGGCGAGTTAGTCGGTGATGAGGAGCAGCTGGACGGACCGACCGCAGACTCCGGTCGCGCGTCCAGTCGCACGCTCTCTTCCGGAATTTCTATGTTCTGGAAGTCCTTCGGGGATTCTGGAAAGACGATCGCGACTTCAGAGTCCTGCCGGCCGCGAGGCTGCGAGTCTCGCGGACCGACCCGCAGGAGCATCGCTCCGGCATAGGTATGTTCTGCTACTTTTAACGACAGTCGGTCGCTGCAGTTATCGCCGCAGTGCTTTTATACCGTATGTTACGTTATTTGTACGATGATAACGTAACAATAACGACATTGTCATTCAAAGTGGAGTCGAGCGGTGAGTACAGTTAAACACGGTACAGTGAGTATAATCAAATGCAGCGCAGTAAGCATGGTTGGGGTTTAGTAAGAATAAAATTAAACGCAGCAAGACACTGCAGCAAAAGTTACAGAATAAGCCTACAGCGCAGGCATCGTAAAAGTATTCCGATTGAAATAATTCCATCCTCCTCAGAGGCTACAATAGAAATCTGGGGAATAATTGAGCGATCCTGAGCAGAGATTCTTCCGAGCAACCCCGACGAGATGCTATTAAAAGACCGTCAGCCGTGACTAAATTTTCGCAAGAGACGGAGAAAGTCGGAGGAAGACAGAAGCAATTAAAGAAGAACGATATCATCAGCTATTTTTTGGAGTCATTCGGTATAAATAGCTAAATATTCAGGGTGTAAAAAATTCTGGATTTTATCCTGCCATAACAAATTATTTACTACCGGCATTCTCATGCGGCTCTTATTGGCCAATATCAATTCTCAGCGACTAAATATCTGACAGATACAGCCTTGACACAAGTATTGTTTAGTCTATTAATTTTAAGATTTGCAATGAATTTGATGTCTCACCGCTATGTCCTCTTACCACTAATCTATAACGGAGTATATCAGATGCAATAATGTTATTATTATTATAAGTATATTATTGCTTGTTACTCGATAAGCTCGTAGAGATTTTCGCGAAGAGTTTAAAACCGAGACTTTTACAGTTGGGAATAACTTTGTGGGAATAACTTTTAACAATATATTGATGAACCGCGTTTTCTCGATGGTGGGTTATCGAAAAAAATATGAAAAAAATGAAGTTAGGCCTGACTGCGGGTTTATCGGCTTGCGGAGTTTTCCGTAGAAATTTCTACGAACTTGTCGAACAAGCCGATAGATGTTATAAAGTTCTTACAAGTATATTAGATGCGATAGAAAGTTATATTATCGTTATTATTATTTTCCTGGGATCGCGCTTCTACAGTTATGATCCACGCTAAGGTTATTCGACATGTCGACAAAATTCACCCGCATTTTTGGCACAAAACATAAAAATGACAGGAGATTAATCTATCTAGAAAGATGGCTAAAAATTATTAATTTTAATTCATAAGATCGTTATAACGTTATAAAAAACGTTTGTCGGATCATTCGGGGTTATTAAAGCTCGATATTCGTTCGATATCGTTAAATTCCATAAAGGCTGAAACTGTCTTCACTCTTAGCTGATCGGCGCGAATAACTACTACTTGCCCTGGCTCGGTGCTCTCTCTTGCGAGAACGCGTCGACGCTTACTCACCGGAGCTCGCTACGATCGCGTACGTGGACTTGTACTGCGGGCTGACGAGCGGCGAGTTAAACTGCTCCATCGTGAGCGACTCGTGCATGCTCACGTCTTCCGGTATATCAGGCGATACGTGATTGGCGGTTTCCGCCGTCAGCATCCCGCCGGGCGTCAAGTTCAGCAGAAGACCCTGCAGAGAGAGAGAGAGAGAGAGAGAGAGAGAGAGAGAGAAAGAAATTTGCCGTTCCCTCTTTCATTCGCGACGATAATTAACGACGCCATATGGTCACGCGCGTTATTTCCCGAAAGACGGATCGATTCGTAATGAGAGGAGAAACACGAAGAAGGCATCGCGAATCCGTTACGTACGTCTTGATATATTTTACGCGTCCATCTTATTGTAATCTTCAAAGAAACATCTTCGGGACAAGACTCGGGCACTGAGTTGACTTAACACGAGCCGCGGCCAGCGCGTTGATCTTTGTCGAGTTTAGCTAAACAAGCTGAAGTTTAGCTGATGATTGAGTTATTAAAGATATGTTAAATAAATTAAAGATATATCGCTTCGCTTTGTTTTATTGACACTTGTTGAGAGAATAAAATAATCGATATTATTAAAATCAATTATTTTTGGCCCCAATTAAATATATTTTCTTGTCTTAACGAAAAAATAGCAGACACGATATACCTACACAAGTTTTATCGCTGACACTATAGTAAGTTTACTATAAAAAATAATTTCTCTGGCTACAATTTTTTTCACCAAGCGAAGTACGTAGCAATTACTTTTTTATCAGCATTGTAGGGATTTCGTGCTCGAGAAGAAGGACAATTAACTTTAACAGAATTTTGTTATTTTATATACTTTACTAAATGCGTTTCGGGGTTGAAGGAAGCTGAATTTTGGTTTCTCAAGAACTCAAGATTTAGCCCGGAAGAATTGAAAATTCGATTTCCTTTGAGCGAAACGCGTCCGGTCGTGTCATCGCGTCATCGTGTTGATTCGATCAATTTATTTCTCCGTCTTTCTGCGTCCGTAACTTCGACCACCGACTCTCACGAGCTTCAAGCACTAACGTTGCTTTTTGTTATTAGCTTTGTTGCAGGAACCGACGGTCTCGTCCTTGCGTCCTTCGACTTCGCCCGGTCAGCAGCGTACCTTCATATTGATGGCGAAGCCGAACGGATTCTTCAGCACCGTCGGGGAGCTCTGTAGCTTCTGCCGTCGGTTCAGGAACAAGATGATGAAGAAGACCAACAGGAGCAGCAGTATGATGGCAGTGAGCACGCCGATCAGTACCTCCAGGTATTCTTGACCGTCTCCCGGCGCTGTAACTATACAGATTTATAGGGATACACGAACACGCGATATCGTCGAGTCGACGACGACGCGAACCTGCTCGGGAAAATCTTCAACTCTGCCGTGACTTTAGACTCGCGGCAGAGTTGAACACACAGCTTTCTCGAAGCTGACAACTGAAATTCGACGAAAACTTCTTTATGGCGGGGGAGGGGAGGGGGAGAATTTTATCGATCGCGAAACGAGACCAGGATTCTGTATCTTTATCTCTCTCGTTCGTTCGGGCTCGCTCGGGCGTTCATTTTCTCTTTCTCTCGCGACTTGCCGTTATCGATCTACGTTGCAAAAACCGTGCCGCACACTGTCCGTGCCAAATACCCCGAAGCTACGACCGCGCTCTTTTTCGCCGACAATGGAAATAAATAAGCTCGTCGAGGGGGCTATGCTCGCGTGACCATCGAGATCGGCTCGTCGTCGTCGTCGTCGTCGTCGCCGAGGACGAGGACGAGGACGAGGCCGACGACGGCCGGAGTTTTCTTCGATCAAGCGCGGGAACAAGGCCGGCCGGGAAATCGCGGCAACGCGACGACTCTGTTGATTCGCGGCACGAAGAGTCCGCCGCCGCTGTCGCCGCTGTCGACAGGTGGTGCACGACGGGAAAATTTGAGTTTCGAATTCGACGCTTCCTCTTCATCGTCGCGCGGAAAACGTGCGGAAAAAGAAGACCTCCCAGAGGAGCGCGGAAACGCTTTTAACTCCCGCTCTTATGTGCCAACGCGTCCGTCCACCCCTACCTCATCCGCTCGCTTCGTGGTCTCTTTCGCTTCTTTTTCATTTTGTTTTTGACAGGGTGAAACGGGGGGGGGGGGAGGAGAAGAACTAACGCTATTAGGAGATAAAACTGCGGTCATGGGGTCCGGCATTATGCGCGCGCGTACAGCATTTGAGCCTGTTATTATTACCCGCTCTCGACCTTCGCACCTGTTCCTCCCCCCAGTACCTTCCCCGACTTTCCACCCTCGTGCAGCCCTAGCAGTCTCTTTTATCACGCAACTTCTGGCTCTGTTTTCTCTCGCAACAACGTGTCGCCGGGCCCGCGCAGCCGTTTTGCATTTGTCTTTCTCCTCCGTTTTTTTCTTTTTTTCATGCTTTTTTATTTCTCGGTCTCCGTATTCGAAACGTATTCGGCTTTACCGTTGTGCTTTATTCGTAGCCGCGCATTGAAACATATTTAGCGGATTCCGGCCGATGCCGGTATCGGCCTACCGGTGGGATTTTCCGAACATCACTTGGGACGGGCGCTGTTAAATTTCCCTCTCCCTTCTTTCCACCTCTTTCCGTCCTTTCCCTCCCGCTAGGCTCCTTTTTTCGGCGCGTATTTATTTATTTATTTTATTTAGCCCCATTTGCACGTGCATGCGTCGCGAGTTTTAAAGAGGCCGCGCACGTACACGCCGACTGCTCACCCTTTTTTTCAGCAACCTTTCAACTTGTCATAAAAATAAAGCAAGAGAGAGAGAGAGAGAGAGAGAGGGGAGGGGGGAGACAGAGCGGCAAAGCTTGCTTTTCAGCGCGCGTTTCCTTTATCCTCGAAATTTGTTTAAGAGTGCACGCTCTCGTGCATGCAGTTAATATTACCGTAAATAGGTGGAGTCACTTTGGCGCCGTTAATATCCGCGCGCGATACAAATGATTATTAACGATAACAGAAGCACGACGAAGCGACGCGACCGACGAACCGCGCGCAAACACTTGGAGAATTTCAAGAACGAATTTGCAATATTACCGCTCGTCCACGGGGTATTCCTTTTATTTTCTCGAACGCCCGCCCGCCTCTACGTCTTTATTTGCAACGAACCGGAGGAAATAACTGTAATCAAGAGAGAATGAAGATAAAGGATTCGCCATTCGCGCAGTCCATTAGAGATTATGTCCATTATGTAATTATATAAGGAGTCGCGTGTTTTCTCCTACTCACCCTCTCTCTCTCTCTCTCTCTCTCTCTATCTCTCTTTCTTTCTTTTTCGTTCCTGCGTTATAGTTTTTCCGCCTTTGATTGCCCTATTTCATCGTTCCCTTTTTTCCGCCTTCTCTCTCTCTCTCTCTCTCTCTCTCTCTCTCTCTCTCTCTCTCTTCCTGTCTCTTTCTCCCTCATTCTCTTAGTCTCGCGACTTCAATCCTGTCTCTGCGGCGCCATCGAATCAGACGTCGGCTAATCCGCATAATCGATCGCGCGGACATCGGCACCTGAATTATGAGAGCGTCGCTCTTCCTCTCGAAAGACCGACGAGCCCGCGCGCGTAAAAAAGGGAATCGTCGCGCGTATGCAAAAACTATATTAGCGGGTAGCGGGTGCATCCTTTTGAATTCAGACCACCGTAAAGCGGGCGGCCGGTTCACATGTTGTTTTACTACACGCTACTACTTTTTTTATCATCTACCTACGCCCTGCCCTTGCCCGGCGTGCCGTCTTTTTTAGACTCGGAGAACGCCCGCGGAGCATGCCCGCGCTGCTGCTGTTGCTGTATTCGCACCAGGACGACGACGACGACGACGGCGGCGGCGGTGGCGGCGGCGGCGGATGATGATTTCGCGGCTGTTTTATTTGCAGGACCGCGCATTCGCGTTTCTTTTATTTATAACGGCAAGGTGCTCGGTCTATTTTTTTAGACCCGGGTGTCACAGAGAGAAAGAGGCGGCAGGGGGGATACGTTTAGTCCTGACGGCCGAGGTATATCAGAGGAACCGTAATTATGCCGCGGTCGAGCATTCTCCGTCCCCCCTCCCTCCACCGCCGTACCGCATCCTCATTTATCCACTGCACTTCCTGTTATCTGTATCTCTCCCTCCCACTCTCTCTCGCTCTCGCTCTCGCTCTCTGCACGTCCTGTTTCCGCGGTGGTGCTATAAGTTTTTTCGACTTTTTTATCGTCATTCCTCGCCCCTCTTTTCGTAACGTAATTTCCCGTCCTGTGTGTAGCGCGCGCGCGCGCTTCTCTCTATCTGTTCGGGTGACAAATTGTTACCTTTTATTTGCATTTTTGTTGGAACAATTTTGTCGACGCGCGACGCCGCGCCTCCGTGCACTTTTATCATACGTTTCGGGCCGTGCGCAGCGTTCAGGAGCTAATGCGATTGTTCGTTCGTCGATATCGGAAGTCCGCGTGCTAGATTAAAACTCGTCGCGCAGGTGTGTGCGCCTCGATTGCACACGCACGCGCACACGTGTGTGTATGTATGTCACACACTGTTGTGCACCGATTAAACATATTTGCAACGTATCCTCGCAGTATTTATACACGTGCGCACATCGCCCACGCGCAACGTTCCCGTCGGCGGTACACCATGGCCTCCATTTTTATCCGCCTCCCGCCGGCGGTTCGCGGTTTTTAATTTTTCATCCGGATAAGCAATTCTCCCCCTTTGATCACGTCCGATGGTTTCAGGCGGAAAATGCGTGTTCTTAGCTTGCCCCGCGTTCCGGAAAACGCGCCGCGTAGGATTTGTCGTCTCGACACAAACTATCAGATATATGTCATTACGGCCGCGCGCGGTCGACCTCGCTTCCTCGACCCGTCGTCCACCATTTTCTCTTTCTTTCTCTTTTCTTTTCCGCCCGCTTGGTCCCTTCAAACGCGCTACCCGTTCTTAACCCGGCTAATTGTTTACGTTACGAGAAAGTTGCTACGCGAATTATAAAGTACGCGACGGCGTCTTCTTCTCTCTCTTCCCCTGCTGCCCCTCCCCTTCTTCTAGTCATTCTTTCGCTCGGACGTCGGACAATGACTTTTTCCTAATCGCATTTCCGCGGCTAAGAAAAACGACTTCGCTTCACTCTGACGGTGTTGGTCACGAATGTTGTGGTACGCGCTTCTCTATGCGTTTTCGCACTTGGGGATTCTCGAGACGGAAATTCCGTCAAGTTAGTTGGGAAATTCGGCTTGATTTTTGATAGACAGATTCTGCTCAATGCATGTACATGGTTTTTGGAATTGTCTCTCTCTCTCTCTCTCTCTCTCTCTCTCTCTCTCTCTCTCTCGAACAATTTTTGGTATACCATGTCGTATCATATAACTGAGATACATTTATACTGAAATGCAAATTTACTGCGATTATTAACTAATAATTTGTTCGAACATTTTTTCCGCTTTGTAATATGAAAATTTGTATCATATATATGAAGTAGTTATTTCTCATTTTTTTCAAATATTTGGGATAATATGAGTAAATTCGAATCGAACAAATTGTGTGTTGGAAAATATGGCAGTAAAAGTTACGATAAAATTATATTTCTTTCCTCAATATCTTTTTGTAAAGTTGAACTACATCGATATTATACTGTGAATCATTATGGAAATAGATAAATAAGAAAGAAATAGAACATTCAATTAATTACAAAGTCGTGTAATACAAAGTTATACATGCACAACGTTAAAAAAAATATACAACAATTTCAGTCATATTTCTCTATGGTCTAAAATTACAAAACTAATGCAACTTTTGCTCAACATTTTCTCTGGTTAATGTGATACGAAACAGAGTGTCGATATCTTCTAGGGAAATTCTTTGCGTGTTATGCATAACGACACTAATGAAATTCTGATAATACCTAATCCTGATGATGCTGATATTACACGTCGGCGAAAGATTACAGACGACGACTTGGTTACTTGCTTGGTGCATAATTTGCCTCCCCTCTCCTTCCCCCCGACTGCGATAATGCATAATTTGGCTAAAAAATCGAATTTTTAGACTAACGCCGATACATCCTCCGAAGCTCGGCGCTCGAGTGTCGTCGTCGACGTGTTCCAACTGACGATATCCTTACCGCGGCGTGGCAAATCAAGAGCGACGGGAACGTAATTTCCTCGAATTACGGTAAAGCGCGCGTCGAACGCACTCAGTGTCTCATCGGCGCTCCGTTCGTTTAACAATCGCGAAATAATCGAGCTTATATTCGCCGCGTGAGGCACGTTCTTTTAAAGAACGGCTCGAGCTTTTAAATGCTGTCTGTTTAAATGCTCTCGTGCGAACGATACAAAGTCAAAGGTAAAATCGACGACGCATGTTCGCGCGCGACAGGACGAAAGCGACGGCGGGCGATCAGGAAGTGGTCGCTTTCACCTGCGTTCGATTGCGCAATTAGTTTTAATTAGCGGTCCGGCCATTAAGGCCGAAATTCATTCTTCGGTACGTCGTTGTCGGCCGCGGTAAATCCGTCGAAATTTGAAAGCAGCCGGCGAACGCGCGAAATAAGCGCGGAATATCGAATGCACCGAGTGCCCTAATTCTGTCTCTTTCTTCCTGCTTCCTTCTCCCCTTCGCGAATCTGGAGCCGTCTACTTAGAAACATGCAGTACGAGAAATGAAAAGTTTCTAGTGTTCGGCGCTTAATTAGGACGAGATTGATATGAATTAAATGTCATTCTCTCTCTCTCTCTCTCTCTCTCTCTCTCTCTCTCTCTCTCTCTTTCTCTTT